TCTTCTTATTCTTCTTCTTCTTCTTCTTCTTATTCTTATGTGTCTTATTATTCTTATTGTTCTTCCCTCTCCTCCTTCTCCTCGTCCTCCTCCGCCTTTTTCTCCGCCTCCTTCTCCTCCTCCTCCTCCTCCTCCTCCTCCGCCTCCTCCTCCTCCTCCGTCTCCCTCCCCACCCCTCCTCCGGATCTGCGTGGGACCCCAACTGGGCTGCGCACCCCTGCAGCCCTCAAAGCTGCCACGGTTCAACACTTCGCAGCCTCTCCCAGGGATGGCCAGAGCCTCGAGATCTGCGCGGGACCCCACTGTGCTGGACCCCCCCAGCAGCCTTCAAACGTGGCCACAGTGTCGCACTTCGCAGCCGCCCCCCAGGGATGGCGAGGTCCCCTGGTCCCCCCAGCGGCCCTCAAACGCGGCCATCGTTTCGCACTTCCCAGCCCCCCCCCCCCCTCAGGATGGCGAGGTCCCGGTTGGATCTGCTTGGGACCCCACTGTGCTGGCCCCAGCAGCCATCGAAAGAGGCGAAAGTTCCACGCTTCGCAGACCCCCCCAGGAATAGCGAGGTCATTTGGGGATCTGCGTGATGCTGGAGCCCTCCAAAGTGGCGGCAGTTTCACACTTCGCAGCCCCCCAGGGATGGCGAGGGGGCCCCAGGCTGCTCCGCGCGGGTTGGCCCCGCGGAGGAAGGGGCGAACTCGGGGCGAGGGGCCAGGGCAAGGGAACCAGGAAGTGCTGTGGGAGAACACGGGGGGGAAGCAGGAGGAGGAGGACGAGGAGGAGGAGGAGGAGGAGGGGGAGGAGGATGAGGATGAGGAGCAGGAGGAGGAGGATGAGGAGGATCGAGGAGGAGGAGGAGGACCAGAAGCATGGGAATACAAGCTCGGCCTTGATATATCTACCCACCGTCACACATTACCCTGCGACGTACCCGACCCATCGGCACCAAGGGATGATAGAAGGCGTGCCGACAATACCGTGACAGCAACATTGCCAGAGACGGTGCACGGCGGAAATCTATATCGTGCGAAATTTGCGCGGGCAACTCGCAGAACAGAGGTACAAAAGGCCAGGAGGCATTGTATTGGGAATGAGAAGCAAAAGTAACACTTCGAGGTGGACGAACAATCACCTCGGCAGAAGCAGCGACATGATGGAGCATGGGCAAGATAAGGTTATATGGGCGGAGATGCAACCAGACAGTGAAGTGAAGTATCGCGTTTATCCATGCCGAAATGCTCAACGTTTGCGCGGCCAGCGCTCCGCGTTGCTGCAGCGCTTCGGAACATGTGAAGCTCCCGTTGCTAGTGTAAGAGGTGGTCAGGGCATAGCTCGCCCGTCACCCTCGCCGCTTCCTCCCTGCAACTCTTAAAGCGAGCACCAAACGCGCGCAGACGCGCCGCCAGCCCTCGAAAGTGGCGGCAGTTTCGCACTTCGCAGCCCCCCAGGGATGGCAAGGTCTTGTTGGGATCTGCGTGTGGCCCCACTGTGCTGGCTCCCCCAGCAGCCTTCGAATGTGGCGACGGTTTCACATTTCGCAGCCCCCCAGGGATGGCGAGGTCCCGTTTGGATCTGCGAAGGGACCCACTGTGGCGCACCTCCCAGCAGCCCTCGAAAGTGGCGACGGTTTCACACTTCGCAGCCCCCCAGGGATGGCGAGGTCCCGTTTGGATCTGCGAAGAGACCCACTGTGGTGCACCTCCCAGCAGCCCTCGAAAGTGGCGACGGTTTCACACTTCGCAGCCCCCAAGGGATGGCGAGGTCCCGTAGGTCCCGTTTGGATCTGAGTGGGGCCTCACTGTTTTGCACCCCCTCAGCAGCTTTCAAAAGCGGTGATTGTTTAACACTTCATGGCCCCACCCCCCCCGGGATGGCGAGGTCCCGTTTGGGTCTGCGTGTGGCCCCCGTGTGTTGGTTCCCCCAACAGGCCTCGAAACGTGACGACGGTTTCACACTTCGCAGCCCTTCAGGGGTGGCGAGGTCACCTTTGGGTCTACGTGCGGCCATCTGCGAGCTCCCCCAGCAGCCCTCGAGAGTGGCGAAAGTTTCACTCTTCGCAGCCCGCAACGGATGGTGAGGTCCAGTTTGGATGTGCGTGTGGCCCCACTGTGCGGGCTCCCCCAGCAGCCCTCGAAAGTGGCGACCGTTTCACATTTCGCAGCCCCTCAGGGATGGCGAGGTCCCCTTTGGCTGTGCGTGTGGCCCCACTCTGCGGGCTCCCCCAGCAGCCCTCGAAAGAGGCGACAGTTTCATATTTCGCAGCCCCACCAGGGATGGCGAGGTTCCGTTCGGTTCTGCGTGTGGCCCCATTGCGCGGCTTCCCCAAGACACCCTAGAAACTGGTTTTGGGTGTGCGCGTGGCCCCACGGTGCGGGCGAAAGTGGCGACAGTTTCACACTTTGCAGCCCCTCAGGGACCGCGAGGTCCAGTTTGGATGTGCGTGTGGCCCCACTGTGCGGGCTCCCCCAGCAGCCCTCGAAAGTGGCGACGGTTTCACACTTCGCAGCCCCCCCAAGAGGGATGCGAGAGGAGAGAGCCGAGAGGAGGGCGCGGGGAGGGCGAGGAGGAGGAGGAGGAGGAGGAGGAGGTGGAGACCCCACTGCTCTCTTCAAAACCAGAACCCAACCAAGGGAGGGTTGGGAGCAACAAATGGGAAGGGAAGGTGGTGGAGGACGAGGAGGGGGACGAGGTCGGTGTTGGAGCGGGAGGAGCAGGAGGAGAGGGAGAAGGAAGAGGAGGAGGGGGGGGGGGACGGCGAGGAGCAGGAGGAGGATAAGCTGGAGCCAGATGTGGAGGAGGACTGGAAGGCGGAGGATAATCTGGAGCCGGATGTGGATGGAGGCGGAGGGGCAAGTAGGAGAAGGAGGAGGAGGAGGAGGAGGAGGAGGAGGAGGAGAAGAGGAACATGGACGATGAGCAGCTGCAGTATGCGAAGGATTCGAGGGAGCAGGAGGGCAGATTGGAAACTGGGGAGCAGGAGGGAGGCGAGGCAGGATACAGGATTAATAAAACGAGGCAGGTGAGGAGGTAAACGGGGATCAGCGGGGCGAGGACGATGGGAGCGAAGTGACAAGGATGAGGAGTCGGGAGGATGAGGACGACGTCGAATATCGGGACGAATGCGAGGTGGGTGGAGGAGGTGGAGGAGGGCGACGGCCACGATGTCTGCGACGGCCACGTCGACGACAACTGCGGAGGGGCTCGGAACCGCAGGCAGCGCTGGCCACCTGGAAGGGGAAACGAGACAGCGAGGAGAGCGGTGGGGGAGGTGAAGAGCCCGCCGAGGAGGAGGACACGAGAAGCGCGTGGACGAGGAAGACGACGACCGCACGATGACGGAAACGACGCAGACGGCGTCGGTGTCGGCGGCGTTGGTAACTGTTGCTGCCGCCCTAGATTCTGACTGCATAGGTCCCCCGAGGTCCCTGCGGCCCTGGGGAGCTCCCTGAGGCCGCCAGAGGCTTCGAATAAGAAGACAAAGAAGCAGCGTTGCAGCATTCGCCAAAGACGACCGTACCACCTCGGTCTACGAGGGTCGGGGGCAGAACTCGGCATACGGCGACCGCGGCTCCGAGATCGGACGTCTTGTTCATTTGCTTTCCAAATGTGCCTTGATGTGTGCAAATACTGCGCGTTTGAATCGCAGCAACTGCGAGGACAACGACGAGGAAGAGGTCGAAGACCACGACGACGACAACGACGACGACGGCGACGACGACAACGGCGGCGACGACGACGACGACGGCGGCGGCGGCGAGTCCCAGAGATCGGACGGCTTGATGCGTTCAAATACGGTGCACCCAGGAGTCCCCACCCTTTGCCCACGGCCGGTGTTTGGCCCCCGAGTTATTTGGTTGACCGTCCCACGGCCCAGCGAGGGCCCCATATGGAGGCCAAACTCGGCGAAACAGTCCCGTGCCGACCGCTACACACGATGGTCCTCCTCCTCCTCCTCCTCCTTCTCCTCCTCCTCCTCCTCCTCCTCCTCCTCCTTCTCTCCCTTCTCCCCCTCCTCCTCCTCCTCCTCCTCTTCCTCCTCCTTCTTCCCCTCCTCCTCCTTCTCCGCGACGGCGGCGACGACGCTTGCCACCATCCGAGCGGCCAGACGCGAGGCGCGGGTGGCCCTGGCCGCTGCCGCCGCGGGCTCCGCGCTGTGGGCCACCCAGGGCCTGCGGGGCCTGTCGCTGTACACTGCCGGCGGTGGCCCCGGCGTGGAAGGAGCCCGCGCCGCCCCGAGACACCGACAACGCGCACGAGTGACCCTTCGCTGGAGTGACCTTCTGATCGTTCTCTGATTCGTTGTCTTGCCGATCGATGCAGGCCTGTCTCTGTAGCCTCCCCTGTAGACCACCCCCTCCTCTCGTCCGGCCCGAAAAATGGGCTTGACCCCTCAAGCACGAGGAGCCCCACCCGGAATGGGAAGTTCAAGGCCCCTCTGCGGGATCGGGGTCGCACTGACCCGGCCACCTCCAAGAGGTATGTGATCCTTTTCTTATTCGTTGTTTTGCCGATCGGCGCAGGCCCTCGCACCCCCCTCCCCCCCCACCCCATGGAGTGGATCTTGGCTAATTATGGCGGCTGTTTTCAGGCAGGTGGAGTCTCCCCCACAGGACGGACTGTTGTAGACAGTCGCGCTGAGCAGAGGTCCGGAGCCAGAGCCCCCCCTCCTCCCCCCTTCCGCTCAATGTCGAAACGCCGAATAAGAAAACGCTCACCTGTGGTGCGGGCGCGCCTGGGTTCCCCGATCGCCGAGCGCGGTGCGATGGTACAACATCTTGCGCGCGCTTGTGTGTTGGCCCCCTCGCGCCCCAGAAGCCGCGTGCCAGAGGTCACTCTTACCCAGGGTCGCTCCTGCGTGTAGCCGAAGACACCCAGCGTATATGGTTTTGGACGACGATCAATGGAGAGGAAGCATGACGCAAGATACTTCCCAGATGTCTACACAATGGCTTAACCACACCTCAAACATGTAAAAACATGCTGTGAGCATATTTAGAACATGTTACAAGCATTTTAGAAACATGTTTTATCCAGTGGCAGGAGCGTTCGGATGTCCATTGCCATGGCATCCACGAGTATATGGAGAGCATCGAGGCGGCGGCTTCGGGTCCGGCTTTGCCGCGCTCCGGGCGCCCTCTCGCTGCGCCCGTCCAGCAACCGCCCAGGATGGACGGCAGGCCCGTGGGAAGTGCTCGGGACGTCCGGGGCTCGCGCACTCGAAGGCAGCAAGACGTCGGATCGCGGGGTCTCGCCGCCGTTTTCGTCGTCGTCCTCGTCCTCGTCCTCGTCGCTGTCTTCGATCTCTTTTCTCGCCGCTGTCATCGCCGTCGCGCTCGCCATCGTCGTCGTTGCCGTTGCCGTCGCCGTCCTGGTTCGCTGCCTGCCTGCTGCTGCCGCTGTCCCGTCCTCTTGCTTTTGTTGCCGATTGTCTCGGAGTAGCTGTAGCCCATCGTCGGCGGCGAGCCCGGGGGGAAGTGAGAAGGGGCGGACCTTCGCAGAAGGCTCGGAAGTCCCTGAAAAGTATCCTAGGCCTGCCTCGAAGACACAGAGAACTTCTCAGAAGGCGCGAGGGCTTCTGAGAAGCCCCGCCGCCTTCTGAGAAGGCCTTCTCGTTCTCACTTCCCCACTCGCTCGTCGCCGACATCGAAGACTTCGAATCGCCGCCGCTCCCGGCCCTTTGGCAACGCCAGGCTTTTGCGGCCGATCATCAATGTAAAAGTCGCCCGAATGTGGTGGAATTCTTGCTCCCCGAGGTGTTCTCGGCACGACTCGGGAAGCTCACGGGGTCCAGAGGGAAGGGCTGTCTTGCCACGGCCGAAGCCCCCGTGGGCAGCATCGGGAGCATCATGGGAATCTGTTGGGCCACAACGGTGCACTTTCGGATCCATCGCAGGGCCACGGGCCGTCTTGCATTCCTTCGACGGCCGTCTCGGATTGGGACCTCCTCGGCCTCCCCGCCCCCGACCTCCGCCATCCTCCTTTCCTCATGATCATATTTCCTCCTGCCTCCCCCCGCTGCGTCACAACGAACCTGGTCTAGATCATTTCAGCGGTAGAACTTTTCCTCTGACTCTGTAGCCTTCCCTATAGACCACCCCCTCCTCTCGTCCGACCCGAAGAGGGGGCTTGACCCCTCAAGCACGAGGAGCCCCACCGGAATGTGAAGTTCAAGGCCCCTCTGCGGGATCGGGGTCGCACTGCCCTGGCCACCTCCAAGAGGTATGTGATCCTTTTCTTATTCGTTGTTTAGCCGATCGGCGCAGGCCCTCGCACCCCCCTCCCCCCCACCCCATCGAGTGGATCTTGGCTGTTGATGGCGCCTGTTTCTGGCAGGTGGAGCCCCTCCCTCCGAGGACGCGCTCTTGCAAACAGTCACGCTAAGCAGAGGTCCGGAGCCAGACCCCCATCCACCCCCCTTCCGCTCAATGTCGAAACGTCGAATAAAAAATCGCTCACTATTCCGTGACATGCCCACCTTGCCGCTGCAGAGTGGCCGTCGCCCACGAGGTCGTCAGCCAGGGCCTCCTGGGCACGGCTATAGCCCTGGAGCGGGCGCCGCCGCGGTTCCCCACCTGCGGGGCTGCTGCGGAGAGATCGGGCCACGTCTGCGTGCGTGGGTCGTCGTCGTCGTCGCTGTCGTCGTCGTCGTCGCCGCCGCCGCCGCCGTCGTCGTCGTCGTCGTCGTCGTCGTCGTCGTCGTCGTCGTCGTCGTCGTCGTCGTCGCTGTCCGATGGGGGGAACGTCTCTGCCCTCCGACATGCGGGAGCACCGGCCCGAGGTCCCGAGCAGCGGCGGCGCGGTGGCGAGGAGGATGAGAATCGAGGCAGTTCGAGGAGGAGGATCGAGGAGTATCGAGGAGGAGGAGGAGGAGGAGGAGGAGGAGGAGGAGGAGGAGGATCGAGGAGGAGGATCGAGGAGGAGGAGGAGGAGGAGGAGGAGGAGGAGGAGGAGGAGGAGACCATGCCCTCCCGCCCGCCCTCTCCCGCCCTCGGGCCTGCAGGAGAGCGGCCGGCCCTCCGCCTCTCGGAGCCTCCGCCTCCGGAGCCGCGGGAGCCCGCGGCCGCGGAGGGGGCGCCGCCCCTCTGCAGGGCAGGAGCTGAACGTCGCTACAGTCCACCCGCACAGTATCAGGTCGGGCCTGTCCCCCTCCAGGGGGATTTTCGACGATATATGTATATATAATACCACCACAAAACGAACAGCAAAACAAACAACAAACAGCACACGCAGGAACAACGAGGCACAAACAACACGCACACACACAGCGGAAGCACAACGGAAGCACAACGAACCACAGCACGAACACACCACGAACAACATAAACGACGCACTAGACGAGGGCAACGCGAACAACCGCGTTGAGGTCCAGCCCTGCCCCTCTGCAGCGGGAGCGCGGAGCACGCGCGGGGCCAGTGGCGCCAGCGCGCCCAGCGGCGGGAGGGCCCGAGCGAGCTGCCAGCGCTGGGGGGGGCGGTCCCAGACAGCATCGTGTCGTAGAGGAAACTCAGGACGGGAGGAGGAGGAGGCGAAGGAGGAGGAGGAGGAGGAGGAGGAGGAGGAGGAGGAGGAGGAGGAAGGAGTAAAGATGAGGAGGAGGGAGTAGGGGATGAGGAGGATGAGTCTAATGAGGAGTAGGAGGAGGGGGAGAAGGGGGAGTTTGCGGGGGAGGAGGAAGGAGGAGGAGGGGGAAGGAAGGGGGAGAGAGGAGGGGCAGAGATGAGTAGGAGGAGGGAGTAGGGGAAGGCAGGAGGAGGACGGGAGGAGGATGTGGAGGAGGAGGGAGGGAGGGGGTGGGGGGGAGGAAGGAGGAGGAGTATGAAGGAGGAGGAGGTAGTATGTAGTAGGTGATGATGAGGATGATGAGGATGAGAGGAGGATGAGGAGAGGAGGAGGATGTAGGGAGGAGCAGAGGAGGATGAGGAGGAGTTAGGAGGAGGAGGGAGGTGATGGGTGGGAGAGGGAGGATTGGATGAGGGGGTAGGATGGAAAAGGATGGGGAGGAGGTGGAAGGAGGGGATGTCGTGCACTTCGCTAATTGCTGCTGATGAGGATTGTGACTTGAGTATGCTTGATTATGGATGGCTGTTGCTGGCGTGCGCCCGATCCCTCAGGGGCACCCCGCCCAGGGCCATGCGGTTCCGCTGCTGGTGGCATGTAGCCGATCTCCCGGCGGTGCCTCGCCGAGTCCAGGTCGACCTCTTCCCCCGCTGCGCCCGCTCCCGGACAGGTCCTCGTCGTGAACAAGTCAGGGCGCGGGAAGTCTTTGGCCCACTTCGGCCTCGGGGGGTCCTCGCCGGGCCTCGGGGCCGTCAAAAAAAAGCGATTCCGGATGGCAAGCCGGTCCCGGGGAAGGGGTCTGGACTTCCGGGGGCCCCGGATGTCAGGGCGTCGCATGTTTGGGACCCCCCCTTCCCCCAATCGTTGCCCCTCAAGCCAGTCGGCCATGCATGAGGGTGGCCCGTCGCCGAGGTGGCCTTTTGGTGAAGGCTCACGAGGGGGTGCCCCTGGCAGTGGCCTGCGCGCGGAGCTGGCGCCCCCCGCGGTCCCCGAAAGCCGCGCGCCAGAGGTCACCCATTGCACAGGGTCGCGCTCATGCGTGGGGCGCGCCAGAGAGGGCCTGGCCTTCGAGGGTCGAAGCAGTGGCCTTCTCTGCCTCGGCGGAATGCGGCGGAAGTAAAACGAGGCCGCCTCCGCCGGCGGAAGGCCGGGGGAAGCCGGCGGAAGTGAAACGTGCGCCCCCCAGAGATGACAACATTTTTTGAGTTTGGATTTCCGGAACCGCCACGTGTAGGCGATCCTGGGAGGCGCTTCGCCATTGACGTTTCGAGGGGCTGACGTCTCTTCTTCGGCGCAGGGCGGCGGACGGGACGGCGGCGGCGGCAAAGCCAGGGCGTCTCCGCCAGCGGGGGGCCGTCGGAAGGTGGCGGGAGTAAGACTTGTGGCGTTCCAAAAGATGTGTGCAGTCGACCCGCCAGTAAGGATTGGCATCCCTCCCAAGGGTACACTTGCATCCTTGCCTCCTGTGTCCATCCTTGGACACCTTCGTTGGCCGCGCCCCGCTCGAAACGCTTCGCAATGGGCGTCCTATAGGCCCTTGCATCCTTATCGCGCATCCTTGCTATTCCGGGTTGACTGTACTTCGGGCTGGGTCCAAGGCTTCTGGGAGCCCGCCACGTCCAGGCGTCCCAAGACCTCCCCCCTGCTGCGGGAGAAGCCACCCAGGCAGGGTGTTTGCCCCTTTTCTGGCCACCGGGCGCCCTCCCCTCGGCCCCCGGGGCCGTCGGAGAACGACTCGGGAGGGTGAGCCGGCCCCAGGGACGGGACCCAGACAGACCTCGGGGGGTCCGTGTCACAGCAGCGCGACGTCGGAAGCCCTTGGCTCGCGCGAGGATCACGGCGGGCGTGGGCCGTTCGCGGCCCGATCCGGCTCGAGAAGCCCGCGGCCAGGACGAGGTCGAGGGACCCAGTCGTCCTGCCCCACGTAACCAAAACGCGACTGGGTCGTGCGAGGATCACGGCGGGCGTGGGCCATTCGCGGCCCGATCCGGCTCGAGAAGCCCGCGGCCAGGACGAGGTCGAGGGACCCAGTCGTCCTGCCCCCCCCCCGCCGCCGAGCCTCTCCACGGCGCCGGATGTCCGGCGCCGTCTTCGGAAGCCTCCAGCTCGAGCAGGTCCGCCAGACGGGGGCGGGTGCCATCACATGGGCCGAGAGGGCTCTCCAGAGGCCGGCCGCGGGCCCGTGGCCCACAGGACACGGGCCTCGGCCCCAGACACCCGACCGTGCAGTGTTTCAAGCCACGGCCCGGGGGTGTTCTCTCACTTCTTCTCCTCCTCCTCCTCCTCCTCCTCCTCCTCCTCGTCTTTCTCCTCCTCCTCATCCTCCTCCTCCTCCTCGTCTTCCTCTTCCTCCTCCTCCTCGTCCTCCTCCTCCCCGTCCTCCTCCTCGTCCTCCTCCTTCCTCCTCCTCTCCTCCTCCTCCTCCTCCTCCTCCTCCTCCTCCTCCTCCCCCTCCTCCTCCTCCCCCTGATCCTCCCTCTCCTCCTCCTGCCGTCCCAGACCTGTTCCTAATGTCGAGGAGGAACAAGCGGCATAACCATACACTTTTGGCGCTCTGCGCGGATCCATTAACTCCGCGCGGAACGCCAACAGTTTATGTTTATGCATGTGTGTTGTTGTTGTTGTTGTTGTTGTTGTTGTTGTTGTTGTTGTTGCTGTTGTTGTTGTTGTTGTTGTTGTTGTTGTTGTTGTTGCTGTTGTTGTTGTTGCTGTTGTTGTTGTTGTTGCTGCTGCTGCTGCTGCTGATGTTGCTGTTGCTGTTGCTGTTGCTGTTGCTGTTGCTGTTGTTGCTGCTGCTGTTGTCGTTGCTGTCCTTGTTGTTGTTGAACATTATTTATTCTAAAGAATAATTATTGTTGGGCCCCCTGGTGCGCGCCCCCCCTGCGCCGCCTAGGCCGCAGCTACATTTTCATCATTTTCGTGAGGAAGCCTCAGGTAAAACGATGTGATCCAGATCCGGTTGTTTTGTTGTAATCCGTTTTCCCTTGCAAAAAACACTATAAAATGACATTTCTTGTTCTAATATAATCAAATTTCAAGAATCCCTTGCAAAAAATAAGGTAAAGTGGACATTCGCGCGCGCAAGACGAAATCCTTCCAAAAGCTTAGTGTTCGGAGCGATTTTAACATAAAAACATCAAAAAACCAATGGTTTTTCAACAAAAAAATGTCAAAATCTCATCCCGCGCGCTCTTGCGGATTCGTAGGAAACCCAACACTTTTTAAAACATTTCTGTCAAACGGGCTTTTGCGAGCAACTTTTTCGAACTTCTGCGACAACGGTTGCGCACCTGCCAGGGCCATCATCCCTGTCAAATAATACCATGCGGGACACATTCGTTTTTTCTTCGCGCGCGCACGCCGTCGTCGTCGGCCGCGGGGCCCTGAATAGTAGCCACGGTCGTCCGCATGCCACGAAGTGAAGTGTCCGAACGTCATAGGGCGGGAAGCTGGGTGTGGGTGGTGGCGAAGAGTCGTTTGGAAATTTGGTAGAGCTTGAACCGGCCCCCCCACAAAGTGGGGGTATTGCCCGCCTCCTATGAAAACCCTGGCACTGGTGAGAACGGAGTGTCCCCACGTGCTAGTAATTGTTGTTGTTGTTGTTGTTGTTGTTGTTGTTGTTGTTGTTGTTGTTGTTTCTGTTGTTGTTGTTGCTGTTGTTGTTGTTGCTGTTGTGTGTTGTTTGCTGCTGTTGTTGTTGTTGTTGAACATTATTACTTCTAAAGAATAATTATTGTTGGGGCCCCTGGTGCACGGCCCCCTCGCCGCGCCTAGGCCGCAGCCATGTTTTCATCATTTTCGTGAGGAAGTCTCCGGCAAAACGGGTTGGTCCGGATCCGGTTGTTTTGTTACGGGCGGTTTTCCCTTGCAAAAAATAAGGCAAAGTGGACATTTCTTGTTCTAACATAACCAAACTTCAAGAATCCCTTGCCAAAAATAAGGTAAAGTGGACATTCGCGCGCGCAAGACGAAATCCTTCCAAAACCTCAGTGTTCGTAACGATTTTAACATAAAAACATCAAAAAATCAATGGTTTTTCAAAAAAAAAAAAAAGTGACAAAATTTCATCCCGCGCGCGTGCTTCGAACTTCTCCAACAACGGTTGCGCACCTGCCAGGGCCATCATCCCTGCCAGGGCCATCATCCTTCTCCAACAACGGTAGCGTCAGGAACACGTTACCACCAAAAACCAGTACAGGTGTCCAGTGTTGGAACAGGGGGAAAAGTCGTATACTAAGGTAGCGTCCAGAAAATGTTACCACAACAAGTCACTGTACCCATGCGCCAGTGTAGTAGCCACGGTCGTCCGCAGGCCACGAAGTGAAGTGTCCGAACGTCATAGGGCGGCAAGCTGGGTGTGGGTGGTGGCGAAGAGTCGTTTGGAAATGTGGTAGAGCTTGAACCGGCCCCCCCACAAAGTGGGGGTATTGGCGGGCGTCGTATGAAAACCCTGGCACTGGTGAGAACGGAGTGTCCCCACGTGCTAGTAATTGTTGTTGTTGTTGTTGTTGAATTTTCATTTCTGAAGAATAATTATTGTTGATCCCCCCCACCGGTGCATACTGTATTTTCTCAATCAAATTGTGCCTCTCGACGCTCGCACTCTGTTTTTTGACAGGGAGAGTCTTCCTGCTCAAACTGGGCCCCTGGCCCCCGCGTTACAACAACAACGGCTCCCGCCTGAGATTTCCTTACAATTTAGCCGGGACCCCCGCTCCCGCCTGAGATTTCCTCGCATTTTATGTTGGAATCGCGCTCTCGCTTGGGACTTCCTTACAATTTATTCAGGAATCGCCCTCGCGGCGCCCTGGAGTCGCGCTCTCGCTGGAGACTTGCTTGCAACTTACTGAAGAATGGCCTTGCGTTGGAATTTCTTGCAATTTGCCCAAGCGCCGCGCTCCCGACACCCAGGCACCCAGGAGTCGCGCCCGTTGTGGCCCCATGTGCGT